GAACAGCAGGAATCACTTCCCTACTGGAACGGATAATACACTAGACTCCTGGATGAACTTTAATCTAAGCCCAGCAATATTTGGAGAAGCACTGCAATAGGCTTTTGCATCTGCATGCTCCAACTTCAGCAAATGCATCAGAAGGGGAAAACCATAATGTACTTGCTTACAAATACAGCTACATGGCTAAGGATGTACTGCTCACGCCAACACATCAAAAGGCACATTGCAAAGATATGTAGATTCAGTTAGATTAGAAAGGTAAAACACTTGCTCTTTGGTTACTTCTTCCAAACTGAAATGTCAATTTATTCAAAATATGGCCCCTGACCATATTTCTGAAATACTAAGCATACTCCAAGCTATTGAATTTTGAAGTAATTTTTGAAGAGATGTAATAAAGCATCATTTGAACCTAGAATACAGTAAAATGTTCAGTTAGATCTTAGATATTTCGAATGATAGAAAGATTTGACTGGAAAACACCTAAAAATGTCCTTTTAATGTTAACAACATTAAGGAAAAAATGGAATAACACAGTTATACAAGGCCAAGGTATTAAACCCGTTATCTCTCTCAGTATTTAATTATTTTATTATTATAAAAAAGCTTCTGAGCTCCAAGAATTTCAATAGAAAATATCTTGCAGTGTTTTATATATTGAAAAGACATGACATAAAAATATCAGTTGTTAGAAAAAGCAGTTTGGCTGCTTATTGCTGACTACAACACAATGAAAATTAAGCTGCCTGGGCTATTGGCTCTTCTCCTTCCCCCTTCTTTTGAGCATGTACAAGCATTTGGACATTCACACTATGAAATGAACTGGAGAAATGATCTGGCTGACAATTCATCCTAAAAAAAAAAAGATTATTTTTTTAACATATCAGCTCCGCAGTTCCAGCACACCAGGGCTGCACAATTTTTTTTTGCCAGCACAGAGAAAAAGCTGCACAGGGAGTGCAGGTGCAGCTGCAGACAGATCTTGCTTCATATGATATCAGTGCCAGCTGACAGGCAGCTCAAGAAGCATCCAAACTACAACCGAACTGCTCATTACTTTAAAAGCAGAGGGAACACTCCTACACTGCCACAATCATAAAATGGCCAGGAACAGCTAGAGCACAGGTACGTCCATATACCTCTTAGTCTGTGCCTCCCTCTGAATCCACCGAGACAGACGAAGAGTAGTATTTTCTGCAAATGCAAGGAACCACTAAATATCAGTTATCTAACTGCTATAAAATATTGCATCAAACCATCCTATTCAAAGACAGTCTTTCATTAGCAAGCCATTAAAAAAAAAAGTTTAAATCTATTTTAAAAGCAGTAACAAGTTCTAGAC